TGAGTGTGAGCTGAGTGAGTTGAGTGTGAGTTGAGTGTGAGTTGAGTGTGAGTTGAGTGTGAGTTGAGTGTGAGCTGAGTGTGAGCTGAGTGTGAGCTGAGTGTGAGCTGAGTGTGAGTTGAGTGTGAGTTGAGTGTGAGTTGAGTGTGAGTTGAGTGTGAGTTGAGTGAGTATGAGTCAGTTGAGTGGGAGCGGAGTAAGTGAGTGAGAGTTGAGTTGAGTGAGTGGATGAGAGCTAAGTGAGTTGAGTTGAGTGAGTGTGAAGGTGTTGAGTAGAGTTGAATGAGTGTGAATTGAGTGAGTGAGTAAGTGAGTGGGTGAGTGAGTAATTTGTATATGAATGAATGAGAGTTGAGTGAGTCTGAGCTGAGTGTGACAGTGTATGTGTAAAATTTGAAAGTGATTGTCAGAGATATGGCTCTGAAACAGCATTCATTAAAACTATATGGACACAGTTGGATTTTGGAACCAATCTGCAAATCAAAGTGATTTGCATCAATGTCCTATAATGTATGTTGTATGAAAACTTGATGCCAAAGATATAGACAATCATCTGACAAGACCTAATAAACTGCAATAATGAATGATGACATCAGAGCAGCTGATAGAACTGACCATGAAATGTAATAAGTTAAAAGGTGCCCTTAGAGAAGAAGGCTTTTTCTTTGAATGCCGCGCACTGAAATAGGCATGTACAAATTACATGAGACTGCTGTTTACAAGAATTCAGCTAAAAATTCTTGTGAAAAAAAAATCACCACAACCTGCACTATAAACATTCAACAATTTGTTAGTCATTCAATTTGTATTGTTGTCAAAACTTAATTTTGAGTAACTTGGTCAGAAATCTAATCTGAGCTTGTGAGTTACACTTAGAACCTATTGTAATTTATTTATTATCTTCTCTACAATAAATCCCATCATGCATTGCTGTTTCCAATATTACTTTGCGTGCATGATAAACACGACAGACAGGGATCTATTGGCTATACAGTAAATCATTAAACTCAAGTCTTGTGTTCATCGCTGACTAATCTTAATATCAAATACTTCACATTTAATTTTAATTTTGTGATAAAACCTATCCTGGATCGGGGAATGGAGAATCCCCTGTGCGATTCAGTGACATAATGACACTCCCAATCACTAACAAATCTACAGAACTGCTCGGCGATAGTCGCCTACAGGCATGAAACTTATCAGATATCTTGAATATTCCACGTGTTCAGAATTCTGATTTTTTTGAAAACGTATAATAACATAATAAGTGGGGAGAGAGAAAAGAAAAAATACACAACAGTTAATATTTACCTTTATGATAGGTTTTTTAATTTCCATCAAATCACATAGATTATTACGTATTGGACGGATATCTCTAACAGGCTCATCCCTGGAGATTAAAAAGAAAAAAACATCTTGTGACAAAAGTAATTAACATCAGAATGAGTAATTTTCTGCAATATGGTATTCCATACGGATTCTGGAATCACGGAATAAAAAACATTAGTTACATGTATTAGTTATAATTATTGGTATATAAAACAACAGCATATGGTTGGACAATTATACAGCGGAAATTAATCCTATAGGATAAACTTTAATTTTCATTATAATACTGTAACCCTTTGATCTCCATAATGTTTTCTACATTTTGATGTATTTTTGTAATATTTAATTTGGGACAAATTGGATATAATTTCCAATTGCCTAAGGTCTTTCAATGTTAAAAAGTATTAAAACATGTCATATCTTGACATTACAGAGTTCCCATTGTTTAATTGTAACTAAAACTGAAATTTTGAATCAGAACAAATGCATATTAGTAAATGTAACATGGCGTACAATGTTTAAGTAAAATTGCACTGCAATCAGTCAGAGACATGGGTGTAGAACAGCATTCATTACCACAAAATTTCTGTCTATAAATAAATATGATCTTATTTTGTTCAATGTACGTACATAGCCATAGCATCTGTCTAAAATCTTTAATGAAATGAAGGATATCAGTCCTTTTAGTCTATAACCACAGACTTATAGTCAATTTTTTGTTGACTATTTATGATTATTTTATAATTTATGGGTAATTTTCTATAAAAATTGGACAGGTTTGTAGAAATATTGCCTGTCAAATAAAATTCTGTACGTGTCTAAAATGTTAATTGTGTGTCTAAAATGACAGGTGGACTGGTGGCTGGCTAAAAGCCTGGTAGCAATTGAGTCTGAACAATTGCTGTTCATGCAAGATCAAGATCTTGGTCCAAAATTATGGAAATGCTAGGTTTGTATGCATTATTAACATTATAATGGTCTCTAATCTGAACACCAAACAAATATATGTGCACATGTGTGACATGATGTATATTATGCATATATACTGTAATATTTGAACCTGATCAATTAAAGCATGTCAGAGATATAGTTTTGAAAACTGCATTCATTAAACCAAATATTGAATCTGATGTTTAAAACAAAATGACATGCATCAAAGTCCCATTATATTAAATGTATGTACCAAGTTTGATTCAACCATACATGACTAAGATCTGGTTCCGGAATGGCAGAAATGCTTGATTTTGTTGTTTAAACGAATATATGTGCGACAGATGTATCTAGCATCTATTTTGAATGTGATTGGTCAAGGCATATAAGAGATGTATTTAGTTTGTTTATTTGTCTGTCAAAATGATGAATGAATATGATATCCATTAATTGATTGATAAGACACTTATTAAATTGCAAAACAAAGTGCCTTAGTTTCAATCAAATGGGTCCCTATAGGAACAGGTTTTGTAAAAAAGTAAAAGTAAAGTAAACAAGTCATTGTCAATGACACGTCCCCGTTCCGTTCATATTTGAGTGACATATACATTCAAAGCAGATCATGACCGAAATGCACCTGCATATGTACAACACATTGTGCTAAATCTGAACAAAATCCATCCATGCATGACTGAGATCCGGTTCTGGAATTGTGAAAATACGTGATTTTGATGCATTTTCGGCCTTAAAATGGCCATCATTCCGCTATTGTTAAGCAGATCATGAAACAAATGCACATATCTATTTGTGACATGATGTACCATGTGTGTGTGAAGTTTGAACTTGATCAATCCAGACATGTCTTGGATACGGATCCAGAACTGAATTCTTTAACAAAATGGCCGCCAGTCGGCCATTTCGAACTTGATCCGAAAAAAAAAAGACGTGCATCAAGTCCTATTATGTTTAATGTATGTACCAAATTTGAACAAAATCCATCCATGCATAACTGAAATACGGGTCC